CAGTCAAATGCGCGAAATAACTTCGCGCTAGCGTTATATACAATATTTTTTCTACATCTGAACCGATTGTTAATTAAATTTGCTGTTTAAGTTCAACTTTGTCCCGTGCGCGAAATACTTTTTTTCACTGTTGACGATTTCGCGCACGTTGTCAAGGGCAACCTTACTTATTAATTAACCGTTTAAAAATCTAGTACTTCGCGCTTCGAAATTCGTCAGAAAATGACAGGTTTTTTTTGACAGTTGTAGAAAAATGAAATTAACTGTCATTTTCTTGTTCGCATTTCAAGTAAGTACTTTAACTGCATCTGAATGCTTATACAGTTATTCTTATAGGGCATTTTGGCTCAAAACTTTTCTAGTGACGGATTACGAATAAAGTGTAGCAACGAAAAAATTATGTACATACGTGATGATTACATAAATCGCATTAGGGGGATTTTCTCAGGAGTCAAAAGTGTCAAAGACTTGATGAAACCGCTGTTTGCCTGTACCAAAGATATAACAGTCTCCTTAGTACCAGTAAGGCTTGCAGTTGAAGAAGTTCAACTAACCAGTCACCAAGTATCAAGTCAATGCTTAGATGACTTAGTTGCTCGATGTGTTACTATCCAAGAAACGCACGAGAATCAGTTAAGGGCCAAATGTTACATGAATTTAGAAGCTAACGTGATCGGTGTTATTAGTCTCATTAGGGAAACCGTTTTAAACATTGAAAAATGCCTAAAAAGTTTAGAGGGATGTACATCAGCTAGAAAATGTTGTAACCGTATTGTAGAAGCCGTGAGTGCCTCTAAGGTTTATGATCAAATGGAAAGTTTAGGACAACAATATGAAAACTGCGTTCGAAGTGAATGTACGAGAATTAAAGACGAGATTGCATCGATAAGCTCTAGAATAGTAGTTTGTTCGCAAATGACGACAGAAGAACCTGCTACGTCATCTGAGAAACAACAAACTGATCTTCTTGGTGCACAAAGTGATCAAAATGAACTATCTTATGATATATCAATTGAAGCACCTCCACCAGACTCTCCCGTTTTACCTTTTGACACAACACTCACTAACAGTTCCGTAGTACAAGGAGAAACTCACGTCGCACCAACTGGTTAATCTTTTAACTTAATTTTTCAATAAAAATGGACTTAAGATTTTTCTTTATCTGTTAAAATGTTACAAGAATATGTATATATTAATAAAGTTAAAAGAAAAATAATACCCTAAACAAGTTTATATAGGGGGTGGCATTTTGGGAAGTTTCAACCAGAGCTGGGCAGTATTCGATTTTGTAAATACTTTTTAGTATTCAAATCCTTTAAAGTATTCAAATACTTTGTAATTAAATACTTTTATGGAAGCAGTATTTGTATTTTAACTCAAATACTTTCACAAATTAGTATTCGAATACTTCGCAAGGTATTTGAATACTTTTGAGAAGTATTCGAATACTTCGCATAGTATTTCAATACCAAAAATCGACTACTCCAAAATTTCTCGGGAAAACACTTTTTCTTATTAATTTTGGTGCGTAGAATCCAAAACAATTCGTACTTTTTCGATCAGACATCTCAATCAAAAGTTATAAACTAGAAACCAATTTCGAAAGAAAATTCAAAGGGCGGTAACTTTTGAACTAGTAGCCCAATCTTGGAACTGTTTGAAATTATGCATTCTACATGCCTTATTCTATAAGAAAATTTCGATCTGAGACAATTTTTTTTCGGGCTCAAAAAAAGGCAGTGTATAACCTTCCTTTTTTACCAAAAATCGACTGCACCAAAATTTCTCGGAAAAACACTTTTTCTTATTAATTTTGGTGCGTAGAATCCAAAACAATTCGTACTTTTTCGATCAGACTTCTCAATCAAAAGTTATAGACTAGAAACCAATTTCGAAAGAAACTTCAAAGGGCGGTAACTTTTGAACTAGTAGCCCAATCTTGGAACTGTTTGAAATTATGGATTCTACATGCCTTATTCTATAAGAAAATTTCGATCTGAGACAATTTTTTTCGGGCCTCAAAAAAAGGCAGTGTTATAACCTTCCTTTTTTACCAAAAATCGACTACACCAAAATTTCTCAGGAAAACACTTTTTCTTATTAATTTTGGTGCGTAGAATCCAAAACAATTCGTACTTTTTCGATCAGCCTTCTCAATAATAAGTTATAGACTAGAAACCAATTTCGAAAGAAAATTCAAAAGGCTCTAAATTTTGAACTAGTAGCCCAATCTTGGAACTGTTTGAAATTATGGATTCTACAGGCCTCATTCTATAAGAAAAAATGTTTTCCGGGTCGATCTGAGACAATTTTTTTTCGGGCCTCTAAAAAAGGCAGTGTATAACCTTCCTTTTTTTACCAAAAATCGACTACACCATAATTTCTCGAGAAAACACCTTCTCTTATTAATTTTGTTGCGTAGAATTCAAAACAATTCGTACTTTTTCGATCAGAATTCTCAATAAAAAATTATAGACTAGAAACCAACTTCGAAAGAAAATTCAAAAGGCTGTAACTTTTGAACTAGTAGCCCAATCTTGGAACTGTTTGAAATTATGGATTCTACAGGCCATATTCTATAAGATATATTTTTTTCCGGGTCGATCTGAGAGAATTTTTTTTTCGGACCTCAAAAAAAGGCACTGTATAACCTTCTTTTTTTTACCAAAAATCGACTACACCAAAATTTCTCGGGAAAACACTTTTTCTTATTAATTTTGGTGCGTAGAATCCAAAACAATTCATACTTTTTCGATCAGACTTCTCAATCAAAAGTTATAGACTAGAAACCAATTTCGAAAGAAAATTCAAAGGGCTGTAACTTTTGAACTAGTAGCCTAATCTTGGAACTGTTTGAAAAAGGAAGTACTTTTAAGTTATTCAAATATTTGAGAACAATTTAGAAATGTTTAGGGAAAGTTTCCATTGTCACAAAATCAAATATAAAAATCCGATACAACTGAATACCGAACGATCCTGGAGTGAAACTTTTTGACTCGATAGTCTACGTAACTTAAAAACAATAGGGACCTTTCTTATATCCTTAAGACCATGTGTACCAATTTTCAAAGCGATCGCAGGTTTCTAAACAAACTATCATGCACACTGACAAACGGATGGTCAAAAATGGATCTGTTCCAAAATCGCTAGGATTAATTTCAGAAAGGCCTACCTACGTATCATGTGCACGACGCTTTGAAAACTGGTACACATATTCTTAAGGATATAACTAATATAAGAAAGGTCCTGGTAGGTACCTCGTATATAACAATATAATAATAATAATACGCATTTACTCCCCTTAAATTTGTATATAACAATAGAAATATAAAAAAAGCTAACCCCATACAAAGTATTGCAGTACCCTGATGATGCCTTCGATTTCGATCCTTTCCTCGCTCAACCTGCTAGTCCTCATGGTATCGTAGGAAAGGATTCGGCAATATTTCACTCATTTCTTGCATATCGACGGATGGAAAGGGTTCATATGGTATCCATTGAAATGGGACTAGCCGATAAAGAAAAAAGATAGGAAAGAGAAAACTGACTGACACCGTTGAGTGAAAAGTAATACTCAACGCTGACACTAATGAAGTAAGTAAAGATCTAAACAAATTTAAATAACCAAGAACAGCTAAATGTTAATATATTATTTAAATTGTAGGTACCTACTACTGCCTGGCTAAAAATGGTTTGCAAAAAGGGCAAGTTTGTATGGTAGGAGAAGGTTTCCTCTCCATCTTCTCCCTTTGCATAAGATTATTTAATTGTGAATAACAAAGCGACATTTTAAATATAAGAATTAAGTAAAGAAAGAAGAAAACTATTCATACAGCTCATGCAAGTACGAGTATTACTGGAATGAAGTAATGTGTGTTGCTCAGCCCTATTATTCTCAGTTCTAGGTTTATTTTACTAAAATTGCGCCTACACTAAATCGTGTTTAGGGCATCATCATTTGCTTATGTTTTAATGACTGCTTGTTTATTGATATTTAGTGTCCTTCACTTGGTATTTCTATTCCATGAAAACGTTTAATTTGTTCACAAATTACCTAAGATTGCGAAAATTAACTTGAAGTAGGTATCGTATGTAATTGCGCAATGCACTACGCCCAAAAATCTCAAAGTACATTTACCTACGTAATAGGCAAGTATTTATAATTTTACGGTCTCACCATATGAAACTATAAACGACAAATTTCATTTATTAGTATCACAACGCATTCCCTTAGGAAATCGTTAATTACCAAAAGCTTTTAGGTTAATAATGGTATTAGATTTCAATAGGAATAAATAAGCTAGACGATTATTTCGCCACCCCACAAATTCGCTTCTGGTGAATTTTTGGTTCGTGCGAATTTCAAATAGCGAAACAAATTGCATAGTATATTTTCTTATTAAATAGTTTCAAAAACAAATTAATTAGCTTTCTGGGTTAATGAACGTATAGCACGCGTAATATTTTTGTCCAACTATAATTTGTTACGGGCGCTTTGGGACTGGGATATGAGTTGGATTTTGCTGTTTTCTCACATCCTTCATTGAAATTAGATTGTACTCATACCGTTAATGTAGGAAAAATTGACTCAAAATATAAACAGAACTACTAAAATACATAACAGGTAGATGTAGAGGAACCCAAAAGCAAGAAAAGCAAGTCAATACGTGAAACTTTTAATAAATCAAACTGTACGAATTATTTTGGCAAGTCCTATCAGCAACGTCCTTTGAGACAGCATGTATTTTATGTTTGGAACAGAGAAAATCAACATACTAACTCAATTTAAATGAATAAAACAACTCTACACATGATTTTGAGTTTTATTTTCCACGGTCTGACCACGCGGGTTTGTGCTTCGCATTCTAAACCCTCAATAACAATTTTTTTGTATCCCGATTTCAGGGTTCAGTAATGTTTAGCGTTCGAAAACCACATTAAATTATTCCTGTACTAGCTACATAAAATATCTGGTAAAGGATTAGTTACGCACACCTATCCCCCAAAAAAGTAGTAAAGTAAAACATACATTGTTTTTCAAATAAACCAAAAAGGCCAAAACGTTTCGTTTCGTTCGGGAATTATGTTTCCCGATTTTCCGATTTCGCAAAAGAGTAGATACCGTGAACCTGTAAATACTAAACACATAATTGTGCACAAATCTAATTATAAAGTAACTTCCTTTTACTTCCATAAATGATTATAACAGGTAACTAAATTACCTACGTGTCATAATTTATAATCTAATTCTAATTATTACAATAAATGTGTGCGCGATGTATGTGTACCTTTACTTGTCTGCAGCGTTTATCACCTTTTATAATGCAGTTTGGTTCTTGCATAACATGCATAACAGTGTCTCATTGATGCTTAGTATTTCATTTGGGAATCAACCTTGCATTTTTGCTTTGAAGTTTACAATGCATTTCTTATGGGAATCGTCCAGGCGTAATAGACATGTTCATTTCTGTAAAAGACAGTGGCACAATATTTTAAATATCGATGTAAATTCACGATTATGAGGGAGATAAATTTCGTCGATGTTGTCGTATAAGTAGAAAACTATTATAATTAAAATTGTAATTTGAAAATTGGAAAAGAAATGAGAAAGTAAGGAAGTACATCTTCTGGAAGGTTTGCAATAGCTCTTTTTTCCTTCCTTAAGACCTTGAGGTCGCTAGAGCTATTCTCGTGTCATTAAGAGTATTGATCTGTATTACCAAAAATGTGTTTTCATAAAGCATTTATGCTGATTTAGAACTTATTCACAGTAAACTCTGTGATGAGAGTACCTATAGAAAACTGAGGCAAAATACGTTAGTCGATTATTTCTTGCTAAGTTAGTTTTAATCGTGCATCTCGCTTTGGAGTACAGTAAAATTCCTATGAAAAATCGAAATATAAAGCGAAAAAACTTAATACTATAATAGTCAATCGATGCTTCTTTATGGGGATGAGGATACTTCTTTTTATTCTTACACAAAATTGTAAATGAAATTGCAATTATTTTCGTTTACAATGAAAAATCTTGCGTCTAGAACTAAAAAAAACCTTTTCCCAACATTGTATACACAATTTATTGTTAGGCGAACCTAAACTGAAAAACACAAATTATGCTCAATCGATGTGTCCTTGTATTGTGGGGAGGAGGAAGATTAATTTCTATTAATTTCATATACACCAAATTCTGTTATAAATTACAGTTACTT